ATTTGTTATACCTTATTTGCATATGATGTTGCAAAATGTTGCAAAGTCTAGACTGGTAACCTATAAAAGCCTGTGTAAACCTACAGACAGGGTCCAGAGCTTGGAATGTTAACTCCTCTGGGCCCGCTGGCATAATAAACCTGAGCTGTAACACACTTTGCTGCAACAAAATGTCAAGCAGTCAAGCAGAGGGCTGAGCTGGAGGAAGCCCTCCTGGGGATGGCAGGTGGCGGTGGCTCCAGGGTGGGTGAATGGAAAGGAAGAATCATTCTGCCTCTATTTATGATACAACAGTAAGATGAGACAGGGGAACATGAGAGATGCCATACGAGGTCACACACATGATCCATCTAAACCAGATTCGCTTTCTGACACTTGTTTCTAGGGACGTGCTGGCCATGAAGCCATCCCGCGAGTCAGGGTGCTTTCCTACGTGACCTAGAAGAGGGGAGGGCTGGGAGTGGACTCCTGGCTTTGCATCTGGTTCTCACTGCTGACCTGCTGTGAGACTTGAGCCTTAATCTCTCTGAGTTTCAACTTCTAGCCTGTAAAACGGATATGTGGATACCGGCCCTGCCAACCTCATAGGGTTTTTTTCCGAGGGGCAAAACCCCTTGCATTTGTGTGAAAGCCCCTGGTAAACTGTAGAGCATGGTGTGGTCTGTAGACCAGCTGCCTGCCTACAAACCATTTGTTACTGATTCCATAGAGGAGCTTGTGCCAGGATGTAATCAATGGTCAGTAAACTCACAAGTTCAGTTTCAGAAGACAGTTTGTTTATCGGTAGACTTCCTTGTGGAAGGAAGTAGGGCTGGGGCGAGTTCCTTATCTCATCGTGGATCTGCCCTTTGCATAGCACCGCTGTAAACTTTATACCTATGGGTATCTCTCATCTTAAATGCCCCTGTCCCAGCTACCACATCCTCTCCCACTCCACCGGCTTATTCACTTGTCGAACGCCTCCTCATTTCTCAAGATGCAGCTCAAGCATCTTCCACCCAGATCCCTGCGACAGAGCCAATCTCCTCCTCCTTGGGCCTCCACTGTACGGCAGTTATGAAGGCAGTATCTGTCCCCCGACTAGGCTGTGACATTCTTTTTTTTTTTTAAGCTCTTTAACAAAAATAACTTATTTTGTGGTGGGGAGAGGTAATTAGGTTTGTTTGTTTAAATGGAGGTACTGGGGATTGAACCTAAGACCTCATGCATGCTAAGCATGCATTCTACCACTGAGCTGTACCCTCCCCCTGAAATAAGTTGGTTTTTTTTTCAACATTTTTTATTGATTTATAATCATTTTACAGTGTTGTGTCAAATTCCAGTGTAGAGCACAATTTTTCAGTTATACATGAACATATATATATTCATTGTCACATTTTTTTCTCTGTGAGCTACCATAAGATTTTGTATATATTTCCCTGTGCTATACAGTATAATCTTGTTTATCTATTCTACAATTTTGAAATCCCAGTCTATCCCTTCCCACCCCCTGCCCCCTTGACAACCACAAGTTTGTATTCTATGTCTGTGAGTCTGTTTCTGTTTTGTATTTATGCTTTGTTTGTTTGTTTTTTAGATTCCACATATGAGCAATCTCATACGGTATTTTTCTTTCTCTTTCTGGCTTACTTCACTTAGAATGACATTCTCCAGGAGCATCCATGTTGCTGCAAATGGCGTTATGTTGTCATTTTTATGGCTGAGTAGTATCCCATTGCATAAACATATCACTTCTTCTTTATCCAGTCATCTGTTGATGGACCTTTAGGCTGTTTCCATGTCTTGGCTATTGTAAATAATGCTGCTATGGACACTGGGGTGCAGGTGTCATCCTGAAGTAGGGTTCCTTCTGGATATATGCCCAGGAGCGGGATTCCTGGGTCATATGGTAAGTCTATTCCTAGTCTTTTGAGGAATCTCCATACTGTTTTCCACAGTGGCTGCACCAAACTGCATTCCCACCAGCAGTGCAGGAGGGTTCCCTTTTCTCCACATAGGCTGTGACATTCTTGAGGTCCTATTCATCTCTGTGTCCAGAGACTGGCACAGCGGAGCTGCCCAAAGTGCACTGGTCAAATAAAACAGAGTTAGAAAATCTGAGATGAGCTACATCTCTGCCTATTTCTTGAGTGGATGCAACTAAATCTTTAAAGATCCTGAATGGTCCAGGTGCGGTGGTTGAGATGCCATTCTCCCTGGAGGCTGGGAAATAAATGAGGCAATGACCCTTTGAAATGGAAAGATTCTATGGAGGTTTTTTGTTCAACATGCAATTATTAGTCACCCCACCATATCCCAGGCATGGTGTGAGGCATTGGGGTCCAACCATGGACTGAACACAGCGCCAGCTCCCCAGAACCTGCACTACTGAGTCTCTTTAGGTCGATATTAGCTTATGGAAGATGGAGTCTCTGATGCCTGGAACCACCACTGGACCATTGGTGCGTCCACCTGGTGATGCTGGGTGTTAATAATATGGAGTTGATCAAGGTCTTGCTTGCTGAAGAATCCCTCTGGGCCTCATCTGCAGGTGAGGAAGAGGATTGCTGTTTAGATGGTGGAAGGGAGCAGTAAGGGTCATGGGAGGGTGAAAAAGAGTTGAGGCGGGGGAAGGAAAGCTCAGCTGGATTCTCTCAGTGAAGAGCTTGCTTCCCCATCATCTACCTGACTTCCCTTGTCCCATCTCTAAATGCAGCTCTTGTACTTGCCAGCCCCTCCCTTCTTCAGTCTGCCTCCTTCCGGACACATTTTGCGTCACCATGCCACTTACCAAGCTCCTTTGCAATAATCTGTTTATACGTCTGCTTCTCTTCCTGGACTGTGAGTTCCCTGAGGCACAAGCCGAGTCTCATTCTTTTCATCTTTTGCCCAGTGTGTTTATTTCTTGAGTAAATGGATAATTATCTCCATTTACACAAATGAAGACCCAGGTTCAGAAATACTGTATCCTGCCTAATGTCGCAGGCAGAGCCAGGACTCGAGCCAGGTCTTCTGACTCCAGCTCAGGGCTCCTTTCCTGAGGCCCAGCCACACCCAGCAGGATGGCCCTGGGGCCTGTAATTAGAAACCACTACTCTGACCAACTTGCTTGCTCTGAGAATTAGAAACTGAGGCCTCCAAGGGGACAGTGACCTGTGTTGTGAAAGTCTGAAAATTGGCCGAGTGGGGAATCTCAGTTACGTTCTCCAGTCTTCAGGTCAGTAAGTCTGAAAGTCATTCGTGACCTTGACCTCTGCTTTGCCAGCATCTTATATTCAAAGGTATCCTAAATCCAGCGCATTCTGTCTCCTTCACACCTCTCATCTCTCTTTCTCTCTCCACTGTCACTGAATCAGTTCAGGCCCCCGGCAGCCTCTGCGTATTGTCCCCCAGGGACCCCTGCTGTATATCTTCCATCTGTAGCCAGAGCCCTCCTTTGCTGAAAACTTCCCGTGGTTCCCAGGGTCGCAGGGATACACCTAAAGCCTTAACTTGCTGTCCTTTTCTTCTGACTCCTCACTTGTCTAGCTCTTGCTCACCATCCAACCCTTACACTCAGGGAGCTTAACTCCAGCCTTTCAGACTCTGTCATTCTGCTCTGGAGTCCCGTGTTTCAGTCCAGAGCCATGGGAACTAGATCTTTCTCTGACCAGTCCCTTTGGGTTGGTGAACTGGTTGCCCATCTGCCTGGCTTTTCTTATTATTTCAGACTCACCCTGATGCCTCTGACAACCCCTGTGGGCTGGCCCAACAGCATCTCCTCCCGTCCCCTCAGCCCCACCCCACTCTGTGAGCTGCTCCTGGCCTGAGCTGCCAATCTGCCTCTGATCATTCCAGCTCCCATTTGTGTGGAAGGGCTATCAGAATGAATGAATGAACCGGTGAGTAAATGAATGAATGAATACACTCCTGTACTTTCTCTCTCACTTCCTGCTCAGATACCCAGGGCCCTCATCCTATGCCATGATTCTTAGACAAGTCTTGCCACAGTTCCTTGCATCCCAGGCCTAATCTCCCTGAACTGGCCCTTTCTCCGAAATAATCTTGCCCTTACTTTCTCTCTCCCCAAAGCAAAATGTCCCTCCCCATCAGGGCGGCTGATATGGACAAAGGGTGCAGGCATGGGCCTCAGAAGGCGTAGAATTTAGTCCCAGCCCTGTCCCTTAACTCTTGTGTAGCTGTCACTTATAGGTTCCTCCATCTGGAACTGCATAAGCTCAGTTAGACCATAAACATAGCAGAGAGCGATTTGCATAAAAATTTAAGGCCCAGAGAAAAGCTGAAATTGTGGGAGATGCAACTTCTGAGCAAGCTTTCTTCTAACCTGATGCCCCAAGCCTGCCTGTCTTCCTGAACTGAAGCCCATCAACCCATGGCTTCTTTTCTGCTTTTTCCAATCCCTATGCCCAAACTGGGCATGGCCCTGATCGGGCCAGTCCTAGCAACGAGGCTGTCCTAGGCTTCACCAAGGCACTCGTATGTGATCCTCGCAACATCTTTCTGAGTCAGGCAGAGCAGGTGTTAACATCCCCCATCTTAAAGCTAAGGAATACAAACTAAAAAATGTGGAAATACTGGGTGGGGGTGTGTGTGATACATTAGGAGCTTAGGATTAGCAGACACAAACTACCAAATATAAAAAAGATAAACAAGGACCTACTATACAGCACAGGGAACTATATTCAATATCTTGCAATAACCTATAATGGAAAAGAATCTGAAAAAGAACAGATATTTATGTATAACTGAATCACTTTCCTATACACCTGAAACGAACACAACATTGTAAAGCAATTATACTTCAATTAAAAAAAAACTTACCCCCTCCCAAATATGGAATTATTTCCCCACAATCACAGAACCAAGTGGCAGAACCGGGATTCAACGCCAGGTTTCTTAAACCTAAAATCGTATTGCTGCCCTTGTAGACCAAGGTCATGGAATTGACCCGGGACCCTCGCCTCTTTTCTTCCCTTCCCTCCTGCCTTCCTTCCATGCTGGGAATATTGAGAGACTGGCTCAGGGGCAGGGCCTTAATCCCGGGTGATGAGAGCTGTCTTTGCCAGAGACACAGCCCTCACAAAGAGCGTTGGGGCCCAGGGCTGGGAGCTGGCACGCTGCGGTTCCTACAGACAGAAACGTGCATCTTTCAAATGGTCGTGTGAGTCTTATCCAAATATCCGTGCTCCGGGAGGGGAGCCGTCATCACCTCTACAGGAGAACGTGCTTCAGTGTGCCCATCCTGCATTGGACTCCATTCAAACTCACTGTGAAAAGCTCCCGGGGTGAGAAAGACGGCAGCTATCACTTCCAGGCGTCTCTCTCGGGGCTGTTTTGAAAAGCAGCCTGTCAGCATGGCCTTGGGATCGGCTGATTTTCCTCTTTGGGGGAGAACCTGGAGGGGCCTAGACGGGTCCCAACAGCCTTGGGTGAAGATTCTCTGCCCTTCATTGGCAGGAGAGACTGGAGTAGCCTTGTGCAGACAGATTTGGGCTGGGCCCTCCTCAAATGAGCCCTAGGCACCGAAGAGGGGGAAGTTCTCTTTCCGAGGAATCACCCACAGCAACAGCCCTTGGAAATCTACCCCATCCTGCACTGCCAGCTGGTCCCCTTGGCGAGGGTGCCTGGCCTGCATTTACACGGGCTCCACCGAGATCTCGCGGAGCAGCACTGGCCCTGAGCAGCCTCGCCCCAGTGTCACAGCTCCGTCCTCAGTGTCCTCCACTGTAAAGCAAAGGCAATGACAGTACCTACCCTGCCCATCTCGCAGGCCTGCGGTGAAGATGACAGGAGATCATCCAAGTGAAAGCATTTTGCAACTTCTAAGGCGTGATTATGGTGATGATTACTATCAGAATCATCGTGGTCACTGCCTGGTTCGGGCCCGGAGACCCAGCGAACGAACCCAGGTGGAGTCTGAAGACAACTGGAGGAAAGAAGCCACAGAGTGATGGCGGCGTGCTAATTAAAATGGGCCTGACTGCCATTAGAAAGAAGAGAAGGGGGCTGATGTCTCCTCAGAGAGGGATGTGATAGAGCGTGTCCACGCGCTTTTTCTGGAGGAAGAGAGATGTGGTGGAAGGGCCCCGTAGTGCACTCCCCGCCCACCCCCACGCGACTGAGCGACGGCCACGTTCGTGTCCCAGGACAGCACCTGCGCGCCCAGCTGACACTAATTGGTTCTCAATGTAAGTTTGGCTGCTCAGCAGAAGCGCTAAATGGCTGGGCAGGGCTCCTGTTTCTCAGCCTCCCAGGATGGGACCCACAGAGGGGAGGAGGCTGAGAAACCAGCCCAAGACCCCTGGATTCCCATTTCCGGGGCTGGGCGCACTTAACCACTAACAGGGTGTGCGTCTACACAACATCTCAGGCTCCTGGTGTCAGAGGACCTAGAAACTCCAACTCATTCTATAGCTTGTGGGGCCAGCTGTATGAGCCACACCAAACTGGATGGACTCAGGAACCAATCAAAGCAGCCTTATGTTCCCATCTAAGTAGAATCGCCTAAAAAAAGTCTAATAATAAGAGTTTGGGTTCTAGGGTAAGATACACCAGGACTCCAATTCTGAGTCATACACTTACAATTTGGGGGATCTAGAGCAGTTTTTTGTTTCTACTTTTTCTGAGAGGGGACAGGTAATCAGGTTCATTTATTTATT